TTTTTTTTTTTTTTTGAGACAGAGTCTCGTTCTGTTGCTGAGGCTAGAGTGCAGTCACGCGATCTTGGCTCACTGCAACATCTGCCTCTGGGGTTCAAGCAATTCTCCTGCCTCAGCCTCCTCAGTAGCTGGGATTACAGGTACACACCGCCACACCCAGCTAATTTTTTGTATTTTTAGTAGAGATGGGGTATCACCACGCTGGTCAGGCTGGTCTTGAACTCCTGACCTCGTGATCCACCTGCCTTGGCCTCCCAAAGTGCTGGGATTACAGGCGTGAACCACCGTGCCCAGCCAAGTTTTTGTATTTTTAGTAGAGAAGGAGTTACACACCGTGTTAACCAGGATGATCTCAATCTCCTGACCTCGTGATCTGCCTGTCTTGGCCTTCCAAAGTGGTGGGATTACATGTGTGATCCACCGCGCCCGGCTCAGGCTGGCTAATTTTCATATTTTTTGTAGAGACAGTTTCACTATGTTGCACAGGCTTGCCTCGCACTCCAGAATGTAAGTGATCGGCCCATCTCACCCTCCCAAAGTGCTGGGATTACAGGTGTGAGCCACTGCACCTGTCTTCTTCAAATATTTTTTCTATCATCATAAAGAATGTGTTAGCACTTCCAAGTACACTTAAGATTTTGTCAGTTTCTTACTGTGATTCTGTTCTACAAGGCTCATATTATGTGCCCGGTTTTGAACTATTACATCTTCCTAATAGATTGTTTTTTTTATAAAAATATAGTGACCAGCCAGGCGTGGTGGCTCATGCCTGTAATCCTAGCACTTTGGGAGGCCAAGGCGGGCGGATCACGAGGTCAGGAGATCGAGACCATCCTGGCTAACACAGTGAAACCCCGTCTCCACTAAAAATTAGCCAGGCGTGGCGGTGGATGCCTGTAGTCGCAGCTAGTCAGGAGGCTGAGGCAGGAGAATGGCGTGAACCCGGGAGGCGGAGGTTGCAGTGAGCCAAGATTGCGCCACTGCACTCCAGCGTCGGCGACCAAGCGAGACTCCACCTCAAAAGAAAACCCAAAAAACATAGTGACCCTATGATTCTTAAAACACTTTTGTACGTTAATGTCTGTTTTGTGCGATTAATGCAGCTCCATCAGCTTTCTTCAGTTTCATGCCTACTTTGTATATCCTTTTCTATCCCTTTGCCCTCAACTTCCCGTATCCTTGTTTTAGGTGTATCTTTTCTAAAGAACATATGGCTGGTCCAAAAAGAAATTCAACCTGTTAGAATTTGTCTTTACACTTGGTTTGTTGAGTTCAGTCATGTTTATTGAAATTGCTGACATATTTGGATGTGTTGTCAAATCCCAGTGCTTCCAGTTCCTGGCAGTGTGACTTTGGTTAATCAGTTACATTCTCTAAGCCACTTCCTCCTCTGTAAAACAGGGATGGTTGTGTGAGGATGGAGATGTATATAAATTATTTGGTAGACTGGGCAGCACACACAGGCTCTCAGTAGATTCCCTCTTTTCTCCCTCATCTCCTCCCCTTTTAGACAGACATGGACAGACACGTCTCACGACCAAATGGGTGAAGATGCTCAGAGCATCAAGGGGATAGAGATCCAGTTCTTGTGACAGAGACTGAGCAAGTAGGGGGCAAAGAGAGATGTTGATGATTGCTGCGAGTCAGAGCCGGTGTGCAGGGCCAGGCTTTGGGTCAGGCACTATACAAGGTGGGTCCTGTTCCTGGTTTACAGATGAGGAGGTCCCAAAAGTAGCTGAAGGGACGAGTCGGCTCTGTAGCCTGAATTCAGGCCCATGCCTTTTCTGTTCCCTCCAGCCTGCTGGAAGCCTGTGCAATCATTTCACTGGGAACGTGCATCTCTGCTCTCTGAGTTTTCCCCTAAGTCTCTCAACCTCTGCTGCAACCTCTGTGGCCATCTCTGCCTGTGTCTGGGACTCCCTCAGAGGTAATTCCCCAAGGTCTCTGTCTCCCTGAGTCTTACCTTCATGTTATGAGCCTTTCTCATCAGTCTTTGTGGCTCCATTTACTCTTGACATAGAGGGAATGGGCCCCAAATACAGGGAGATACATAGGGAGAGATGGTGACAGTGACTAGTACACAATACGCCAGGTCAAATGGTTCCCATAAGATGAGACCATCAGAGAAACAGAGGCATGAAGAACGACACCCTAACGGTAATGAACAGAAGCTGCAACATCCAGTGATAGACATGGACCCTAAAAATGGGACAGGGATGCAGCATTGTGAGAGGAGACCAGAGAACACATGGACAGAATGCTGGCAAAGACTAAGTCCATGACACCAGGGGACCTGGGGCCCTAGAAAAAGACAATACAGTCACATTTTATTGAGGCCACTGCATGCCAGGCTTATCTGGGTGCTGGCCCCAGGAAAATCAGATTGTTCTTGCTCTCCAGGGTTCAAGCTGCTGGGGAGACATCCATGTAAACATACATAAGGACAGTGTGGGGCAGAGAGAGCATGGTGACTGCCTCCTGGGGGCACCAGTCACATTCATGTAAGAGACATCAGTCAGGGCCTGCTGAGTCTTGTTTGTTGTAGGTACTGAGAGCAAGACATGGCCCCTGCTCTCAGGAGCTCATAGTATCATTGGAAAGCAATGTGGTAGGAGTTGTAAGGGAGGTATCTAGGAGGTGCTCTGGAAGCAGAGAGGGCAAGCTGAAGTCGGTTCCCAGAGAGCAGGGAGGCTTCTTTGGGGGACATTTGAAATATTTTAGATGACAAAGGAGAGGAGGGTTCCAGGCACAGGTACAAAGGCACATAGGTGGGAAAATGGGAACCACAGTAGTTCCGTGTGGCTGGTGTATGGAAGGTGGAGTCATGGTATGAGATGAGGCCATTTTCACATCACTGCATGCACAGAAAAATGACAATATTCATACATGCATATGAGGATAACTGGAGAGGTTGCTCGGGGCCCAGAGCGGCCTGCATCTTGGCATACTTACACCCTGTTCAGGAAGCTGTGCTGTAGAAGGAGATGGGTCGGAGAGCTTTCCACCTTGGAGTGACACAATCAGATTTGAGTAATAGCAAGAGTCCCCTGGAGAGTGATACAGGGGCAGAGAATAAGGGCAGGAAGGGGTCAGGAAGGAGACCCCAGCTATAATCCAGGCAGGGGCAATGAGGGCTCACATAAGGTAGCAGGAGTGGAAAAGGAGGTGCATTAGAGATAAACTTCAGGTTAAACCAATAGTGCTGGTGACTGGTGGGATGTGGAAGGAAAAGGAGAGAGAGGAACATGTTGGAGAGGTGTCAAGCAGCACCACTGATTACGATAGGAAACCATGAGAGAGGCAGGGTGGAAAAGGCATCTCACAAGTCAGCCTTGGAGTTAGGCACAGAATAGGCTAGAGTGGAAATACTAGGTGCCAAGGCACAGAGGTGGGCATGGCAGGTGTCCCTTCTGGGCTAAGCAGCAGAAAAGCAGGCAAGAAGAGCCACATGAGAACGAGCTACAGTCTGCCTGCCCCGAGCATCCTGGGACGCTGAGTTCTGAGAGACATGTACCTTCATTTGCCCTGGCCCTGAGAACCAATCCAAATCCTCAGCTCAGCTGCCTTCTCTCTGGGACAGCCCTGAGTGGGAAACAGAGGGTAGCAGTTCAGGGCCCTTCTGGAAGCTTCTCCAGCTGGCCTGAATCACCTTGGCTCATCAGGGTTCCTCAAATGCAGAGTTGTTTCTATCAGCCCGAGTCTGCCCTGAGGCACCTATCATTTTGGCAGCTCATCAATCACCCACCCTGTTTGTGGCTCTTTAGGAACTCAGGGTTTCTCTTAGATGTTGAGCCTCCAAGAAGGCGCTGTGCTGTGCCCCGAGGGTCGATTTCCGGTCACTGCAGTACCGTGATGTGGATCCGCAAGTGAACCATCAGGGCTGAGCTGCGGCTGAAGGCCTTCCCACAGTCACTGCACTTATAAGGCTTCTCTCCTGTGTGGATCCTCTGGTGCTCGATGAGGGAGGAGCTCTGTGCAAAGGCCTTCGGACACACCTTACACTGATAGGGCTTCTCTCCAGAATGGATTCTCAGATGTCGGATCAGGGCCGAGCAGTCGCTGAAGGCCCTGCCGCACGCGTCACACTTGTAGGGCTTCTCCCCGGTATGGACGCGCTGGTGCTGAGTCAGGTGCGTGCTCTGGCTGAAGGCCTTCCCGCACTCGTCACACTCGTAGGGCCGCTCCCCCGTGTGCACCCGCTGGTGCTGGGTGAGGTGAGTGCTGCGGCTGAAGGCTTTCCCACATTCCCCACATTCGTAGGGTTTCTCTCCAGTATGAATCCTTTGGTGCTGAGTCAGGTGGGTGACTCGGCTGAAGGCCTTCCCACATTCCTTACACTCATGGGGCTTCACCCCCGTGTGGACAACCTGGTGCTGGGCGAGGTGAGTGCTCCGGCTGAAGGCTTTCCCACACTCGCTGCAGGCGTATGGTGTCTTCCGAGAATGGGTCTTCTGGTGTGCCTCGAGCGCCGAAGCGCTCTGGAACATCTTCCTACACTCGCGACACTTGGAGGACCTCTTCCCTGAGTACGTGTATGGAGGCTCTGTCCCGTAAGCATCCACCAGATCAAATTTGTCTTCTGAAGGAGCCTTCTCTTGGGAGGTGAGGTTTGGCCACGCACTAGAACTGTTCCTCGAGGCACCAGATTCACGGCCACGCTGGTCTGTGGGGGCATCCTTATAAGGCCCTGAAGTTTTCTTGAAATGGATCTGTTGGGCGATAGACTTTGTCCAGATCTCCCCTGATAGCCCAGACCTTCTCTCTGAGCTGCCCTCAGGTTCACAGGCCTTGTTAAAGGCAGGTCCAAGGGAAACACCTCCCATGAGGGTCTCAGTGACCACATTTGATGGCTCTGACTCTCCCAGGTCACTCTGCTTGCAGCTTGCGTCTGTGGGCTCAGCTCCTGGATCCCATCCTGAAACAATCCGAACCACAGCGTCACTCCTCCTACCACACCAAGCCTCCCTGACTCTGCCGAGGGCCCCGGTCACCCTTTGTAAGGGGAGATGTGGCTCGTTCCTAACATCTGGCCCCAGTTCCAAGGGGAAGTTTCTCATTTGGTGGCTTGGATGACAGAGGGTGCAGGGCTGTCCTCCCACACCATCCAACACTATATCATGGGTTCTGATTTCTCCTCCTCCCACCAAACCCTCTGTCTTTCAAGGCTCCCAATTTTGGCTCAAGAGTCAGAGGAGAAACCCTGATGTGGAACTGATCTGAAAGACAGAGAGAGAGGGAGGGTCTGTCTTTGTCAGGACCCTGAGCACATGCACCGCTGCAGGCTCTGATCTCTGTGAGGTTGCAGTTCTGTCCCTCACACTCAACAGCTTGCCTCTAGGCCTGGATGTGTCCAAAGGTGCTCAGTGAACTCTGGCTGAATGAGGGAATCAATCCAGATGCCCATGATGGTGAAAATTTCTGCAAGTAGAACCTCAGGGAGAATATGGCTGCTGGGGGTGAGTAGGTGAGGTACCCACCTGGCCTCTCAAGCCCTACATTATAAAGTACTGTGAAGGCAGAGTGTGGCGGAGGTGCTCTTGGAGATCAGAGTGTGCATGAGGTAGAGGAATGCTCACACTGACCTGCCCTGGATGGGTGCAAAGGACACATAATCTGGCACATCTACTGGATGAATTCCAGGGAGGAGGCAGAGACAGGTGGGACACCCACTGCTCAAGTCCACAGTGGGGTTCAGCAGTGCAGAAACTGGACTCAAACCCCAGCTCTACCACCTTAAGCAGTCCTGCCCTCATCTGGGACTCAGTCTCCCCATCTGTAAGCCATGGACGCTGTGCCGCTGGCCTCCCAGGGCCACTAACCATTATCAGGCTCTTGTCATGTGCTGGGCCCCAAGTCCAGTGGGTGACTTCCATTGCCTCATTTCAGCTCTGGCCTGCTCTCAGAAGGAGGTACTGCTGTGATTCTGTTGCAGATGGGGAAACTGAAATCCAGCTGAGGGAAGGTGTTGAGTAACTGGTACAGGATCACAGCTAGTGGCCCAGTTGGGATTTTAGCTCCGGAATCTTCTCCAGGTCCACAGGCAGCCTCTCCTGCTCCCCCAGCCATTCGCTTAGCCCCGCCTCCCACTTTCTTCCTCCACTCCAGAAACATCACACCACCTGCTTTTACCAGAATGCATCAGTGCGAATCACACTGCCGGGCCTCTGACCCCACCATTCCCTCTGCATTTTGCCCTTTCTCTGAGCTTTGGCCAACCCTGTGGGAAGATGGGGCCACTCCCTCTTTCCTCTCCCTGTCTCTGTGACATCTGCTTGGGCATAGACCAACCTCTGTTCCAGAGAGGCCTGTTTCTCCCGGAGCTGAACAAATTATCCTAACAGTTGCAGTTACCATGTATTTAATCTGTGCCAGGCACCGTTTCAGGTGCTGCATGGATATTGCCTTGTATCTCTCAACACCACTAAGGTGGGCGTTTAATCCCCATTTACCCATGAGTAAACTGAGGCACAAGGGAGTCACATGGCGAGGAAGAGAAGCAGTGGTTGGATCTACTGAGCCTTGATGATTCAGCTGTATCCACACCCCACATTCCTCCTGCGCACTGCACGTTTCCTCCCAGTGTGTGGTACACCCACTTCCTATCTGCTGCCAATAGGCCAGGCCAACCCCATCTCAGACGAGCCACCCCTCCCTGCTCTGGACTGTCCCAAGGCTGGGTCTTCCCTGCATCCCACTGGACCTCCCTGGGTTGGGATGTTTGTGTGGGTCTCTCTGAGTAACAGTGTCCAGCTGAGCCTGGGGCAGGTCTGACTCACCCAAATCCTGGAGGCCAGCCCAGGGTGGGCACAGAGAAGGTGCACAGGGACATCTGGTATTTCCGTCTCCCCCAACAGCCACCCCAGGCACCCGGCCCTTCGTCTGGTTTCCTCTGAGAAACAGCCAGTTGCTCACTGACAGGCCCTGGGATTTGGTTGGCCAAACACAAACATAAGATCCCAACCAGGCCAGTGGGGGCTCAGACCAGGAACCTCTTACTGTTATTACCCTGGGGTTTCTACATTGGTAAGATGTAAGCCTTGGGTTCCTGGCTATCTTTGTCCCCTTTGGAAAGAGAACCTAAAATAAGAAGGAAGCTAACACAGAAAAAGCCAACCGAGAAACAGAACAAGAGAAGAAGAGAGTTCTGATGCTGTCAACAGATTTTCTGGATATAGCCGTATCTGCTGCCTCCTTACCCTTCTTTGCTTCAGCCCATTTCAGGTCGTTTTTGGTCACCTGCAACCAAAACACACCTGTCTACAACCGTGTGTGAGAGTTAGGGTAAAGTACAAATGTGAGAATGAGTGCATGAGTAACCCCAAACCAGAGCCCTGTGCTCCCATGTTCGTGTCCAGCGTGTACCCCCCGTGTGCCATGAATCTGCCCACAGCGCCCCTTTACCTCTCTTGTCCAGCACCTGAGTCAGATCCTCCACCAGCACAGCGGCTTCCTCTCCACTCTTGGGACTCTGGGCTCCCACCCAGGCTTGGATCTCTGGGGGCAGTGCACCCAGGAACTGCTCCAGCACCAGCAGCTCCAGTATCTGCTCCTTGGAGCGCGCCTCAGGCTGCAGCCACTGACAGCACAGCTCTCGGAGGTGGGCCAGGGCCTCGTGTGGACCAGATGCCTCCTCATAGCGGAAGTGCCGGAAACGCAGGCGTGCAGCCTCAGGGTGAGCAATGTGGTCGTGGCTGGATTCCAGGCCCTGGGAGAGGCTGGCTTCCTCTCCCTCCTCCACCTTCACTTGAAGGAAGCTGTCCTCTTCCCATGGCACTGGGCTCAGGGAGTGCTTGGGGATGGCCATTGGGCAGCAGTGCTCAGCGAGACACAGGATGCTGGAGCCTTGGAACTGGGCCTGCAGGAACGTCAGAGCTTCAGCATCACATGGAACCTGGGCCCTGCCTCATGCCTACAGATCAGGGAAAACACAGGCTTGGGGCCTGTGAGATGCGAAAGACTCTCGCAAAGACATAGACAATCATAATAATTAGGGAGCTGAGCACCGTTCTAAGCTACTACGGCTTGCATGTAGATTCATTTAAAACTCACAAGACGCTCAGCAGGTGAGACTTTCTAGCTATTTTATGGATGTAAAAACAGACACACAGGAGGAAAAGATTTGCCCAAAGTCCCTCAGCTAGTGAAGGGTTAACAGAGAGCTAAGCTACAAACCCAGGCAAACCTATAGCCAGCCTGTTTAAGGCGTGCTCCTCCCCCACAGAGCCAAGCCTTTCTCCCTCTGTCTCACATTCCCCAGGTAGCCACATGGTCATTCTCTCACTTTATTTGCTAATTATTTTGTAGTGTTTGAGATTGATACATAATTGACTTTCAGCCTTTCCTCTTTTCTAATGCACACATTTAAGGCTATACATTTCTCTCTAAACACAGCTTTAGCTATACACCACAAGTTTGATATGTTGTATCTTCATTACCATTTAGTTAAAAATATTTTCTAATTTCTGTTCAATTTCTACCTTACCCATTAATTATTTATTTATTTTATTTATTTATTTTTTGAGATGGAGTCTTGCTCTGTCGCCCAGGCTGGAGTGTAGTGGCGTGATCTTGGCTCACAGAAAGCTCTGCCTCCCGTGTTTACGCCATTCTCCTGCCTCAGCCTCCCTAGTAGCTGGGACTACAGGTGCCCGCCACCGCACCCAGCTAATTTTTTGTATTTTTAGTAGAGATGGGGTTTCACTGTGGT